CACATAATTTTGAGACTTGGCACGAGTACTCTCTTCAGGTGTGACTTTCAGGCGATCCGCTAAACTCGGCTTAGTCCCGACTTCTAGTAACAGCTAAAAATTGGAATCCTACCTCAACACTTGAAGGTACACCCATAACTGACGAGGATCTTCCGGCTACGAAGCTTCGTAACCGGCTGTCACAGAGTGTTCTCATGCTGCGCTTTGGGTACCCGACAGGAGGTCCGTCGCGCGGCAAGGCAAAAGCCCGCAAAGGATTGCCGTCCGAATCGCCGCGCAGCCTGCCGCGCAATCTGCCGCGTGCCATTCCGGACGAGCCAAAAGTCCGTCGCCCGACGCGAAGCCGCTACAGTACACGGTGCAACTCGTCCGCTGACTGTTGCCCGCGCGACAGGCCTCCTGTCGGTACCCTGAGCTTTCCACAACGCGTTAATACGAGCCGGGGTCAACATTTTCGAGGCCGTATTTTGCCATTGTACCCACACCTCCTCTCTTTTAACCCCTTTTGCTGCTCAAACGCCTAAGGTTTTTGGGGACGAAGCTCTAGACGTGTAAGGTTACGTTGAATAGGGTAAAAGAAAGCGACCGCTCTGATTTCGGATAGTGGTGCATACTACGCGTTACCAACCGAAAGGTTAGAGATAAGAGCTGGGCAGGACGAGCGTATCCTCATGGAATAAAGGACGTGATAAGATAAGTGTAATATATTGGTAAGAGGCTCCGTATCCCTGAAGTGACAACCATCGGCTTACTGTGTAAGTCTCCTACCAATCCGCTAAATTTCCTATTTCCCCCATATGGGATTTGTCGCGATCACTTCCTTTTAACGATGACATCAACAACATCGACCAGAGGAGGAACGGGAAGAACGTGATCTGAAATTTTGCCAGAGTTCACAGTCAACCTTGCTGTAATCCCTGTCCTTTCGTTTTTCACGCTATTTTTGCCCTGCGCCACTTCAATGGAGCTGATCTTCAACCTATCGCTAAAAGTACGGAATGGCATTCATTGAGACGACCACTTGGATTGTAGGCAGAGTACCCAGTGAACATGTAGGCTGGATTACTGGGCGCTTCCATCGTGACGCAGCCCCTTTCGAGAGGAAAAGTAGCAGTAGGAGTAACTCAATAAACTGGGACACCTCGACCACAGTCGCATCCTCATGGTTAGACTATTCGGCAGCTGGTAATGCTCCAAATATGAGCTAAAACATTTTGCTATGTTCAGTCCCTTTCTGGCATGAGCCGTGCACTTGACTTCCACACAGGTTCGTAGAGCCATTGAAGCGGTGGCATAGCCAGTGACTTGCAGGGCTGGCTATCTTCATGTTAGTGCCTAAGCAAAAACATCAGCCATTGACCAGGGTCGGTCCTATCGTTGGGACTTTTTGGAAAATTTTTACGACCCTCCCTCCTTCACGACAGATTTCCTACGACCCCTTCTTCACAGCTATTTTTCCCTCAAAAAACACTTTTCCCGTGCGCTCTCACCTCATCTCATGTAATTTCGTGCTACCGCAACAAGTACGACCCCCCACCACAAACTTCAACAAACTACGACCCCCGTTGGTACTTCTACCAACGTAGGGTTGACCCTGCTCATGACACATGTACATTGCCGAAGATGTAACAACGGCTCACAGGGGTGCTAAAGAAGAAGCACTTGCCTACGATAGATTATTCTGTTCCGAGCAATATTACTGTTTATTGACTAGTTCCACAATATTTGCTTGCAATCCAGACACTAAAAGAAAACAACCAATAATGAAAAGAAACAAATTATGCGTGACAAACCAAGATAACTTTAACATCGAGCTAGATTTCGATCGCACTGGATAAAATACTATGAGATCAATCGCTGATGGAATGATAAGAGATAACAGCATTCCAGCTGTGATACCCACAAACGGTATGATTTCGTTGAGATTCGGGATGGCAATCGCCCACAACACTGCAATTTTTACGGCTCATTGGTTGCGTTTTGAAAAACACTTGGATTAAAAAGAGGATACATGTTGAGCGTGTTTCAGTTGCATTCACGATTTGGGGGGGGGCGGGGTGGGGGTGGGGGTACGGTTCTTGTTGACGTCATTTGAACATCACCGGTGACTTGAGCGCAGCTGGCGGGTATGGCCTGGCTAACTTCTCGTTAGGCTCGTCCACTAAAGGACGTCATCGACACCGCAACGCCCTCCAGTAGTTTGATCACTCCCGTGATTTTCAGGCTGGCTTTTTATTGTCTATTTGGGTGGGTAACGCATAAGTAATGTCTTTCGAGCTATCAGATGTACACGGCCCTTGTATCCCTAAGCAAATGATTTCCTGAAAAAAGCTCGATTGTTATAGGAAAACTCGATTTGAGCGAAACTTTTTCCTTAGCGGGTAGTTACACCCAGCGCGCCTCTTCGGGCATTGCCTTCATCTACCTCACGCCCAAGTTGCAAAATAAAATTGGTGAAGGTCGACCTCATCAGCTTTCCCTCTCAAGAAACAACTCACTTGCAAAGCAGACGACAGGCAATCCGAAAAAGATACTCAAGCAGAAGAACCGTTATGCTACGACATTTTCGCATCACTAACTTCTCCTTCAGTTTTGGCCATAACATCTCAATGATCACGTACAGTTGTAGGACGTTCCCGAAGAACACCACAAATACCAAAAGGATTTTCACAACCACATTTACGCTGAAAATAAGAATGATACGAATGTTGTACACATGAGGATGTTTATTAATTGATCTGGTCGCGCGGACGTGTCGAACGCTGATAATTTGCTCTTTGAACCTTACGAAGCACGGCAGTCTTATGCAGCGTTCATAGTTGGCGATCGTACGTGCGATTAGGCGATTAGGCGATTAGGCGATGATCCAAAAAAGAGAAAGTATACGTATCGATTAGGCGAGCGATAAGAGAAGGATACGTATTGATTTGTTGCTCCGCCCATTGAGCGATCGCCTAATCGCCTAATCGCCTACTCGCCTACTCGCCTACTCGCCTACAACGTTCTATGGGCGGAGCAAACCAATCAATACGTATGTAGTCTTCCCCGCCTAATCGCCTACTCGCCTGATCGCCTACTCGCCTACTCGCCTAATCGCCTAATCTATACGTATATTTTTCATTATAGACTAATCGCCTAATCGCCTAATCGCCTCATGCCTTGTCGCCTGATCACACGTACGACTGCCAACTGTGAACACTCTATTAGGTTTTCGGATAGGATGGAGGAATTCTTCCACTGTGTATTATGATTTTACGAAGGACTCACGTAGTATCAGGCAGGTTCAGCGTTACACTGCCTTGGACAGCACTACCAAATGTAATATATCCGTAGAAACCACAATAAGTATAAATAATCGTTACAAGGCTCATTCCTGGAAGAATCCTCTAATTAACTATCACGAAATTTGGTCGAATTCTGCGGTTGAGGCAAGAACCTACATTGGTGCTTCCTGCACGTCACCCGTGTAC